GCCGGCTTAGCAATAGTTTGTCAATAGAACTACCAAAATTTTCCCCATCCAGGTGAAACCAATTTATATCAAGCTTGATCGACTACAAGCAAGTCCACTTGTTGACCTGTCAGTGGGACAGGACCATGCACACCGCCAATTTTTCCCTGTCTAAGCGAAACTAATTTATATCAAGCTTGATCGACTGCAAGAAACTCCACTTGTTGACCCACTAGTGGGACAGCACACTAGTGCGCACCGCCTCCTTCATCGACAACAAGAATGACATTATGGGGTGGATTAGATCATTAGGGAGTTCGCTGATCCTATCTTTTCCATAGGGATGGGAGGGTTCCTTGTGGCCTGCAGTGTAGAAGTGGATACTGATTTACTTAGTGTAGCTACATGATCTTGGAGAACCACACAAACAACTTGCAACAAATTTACAATTTTAATGCATGCTTAAGTCTAGCTTCACAGAGATATTGCTATCTTAAATGCACTTTACATAAATGATAAAGAATTTACCTAGGGTAACTTTGAGGTTTTTTTTTAAAAAAAAACAGTATGGATGTGAGGCTCACACATCAATCAGGCGTTGCATAAGAATAACAAATATTCATGGTCTTGCACCAAAATTACCAATGTGTAAAGGACGAAAACATGAAAAATGCTTTAACTCAAACAGGGGAATCAGGTTGTGGATTTGCAAATTTTATTCGCATATATTTTTCTTGTATAAGTCCAAGAGATTATAATAACAAAGAGAAAATTTATCATGTAGGTACCATAAGAAAAAGGAACAAATTGGTATTTAAATTTTCATGAACTAACTGCTAGATGATGTCCCCTAAACATTTCCCTCTGCCTAGATAATTTGGCCTTGCTTATTCTTCTGATGGAGCAAGACAAATGAAGGGGTTGAAGCTTGTTGACGAATATGCATAAAATTGTTCAACAACACCGGATATGAATCATCAAATCACCTTTTATAAGGCTACTCCTTAGGTAATCACCCTAAATAGTGCCAGAGAAAGCATATAAATATAGCAATGCGAGCATGTCCTCAATCTGGCATGACAAGAATAAGTTATATATTATTGAATGGTGAATGAGCCAAAACAAAGTACTTGCCACACGAGGATAAAATCTATATATTATAGAAGTTATCTACAAATACACATATATAAGCCAATAAGTTGGAAAGGGGTGATTTCTATCTGCTATATGAAAAAACTGAATCTAAAAGGGAACATAAATATTTGGAATTGCGTATGAACGAACACTTCAATTAAATACAACCTCAGTCCTAGTATCTTATACGTCACTATAAAGGAAGCGTAATTAAACATTTTTAATTAGATTGTCAAAATTTGCGTACAACTTCTTACAACCATATGTTCTCAAGTAAGATGGTCATCCTAATGGCTTCACAAAATTTTATAGCTCTAAGTTATTCTAGACTTCTCGGCAATAGGTTGTACTCGTTTAGGAGCTTCGAAACTTTGCAATAATTAGCAGATGAGCAGCAGAGCAGAAGTGTTACTATTCAGGTTAACACTACTACACGCATTAAGATACTTAAATAGAAAATTAATACCTAAGGAAATTAGATTGCATAAAAAACTATTAAGAACAAACCATCTTACAAAGTCAATAGCTATTTTGTAGATTCTCTCCTCTATCCTGGCAGCAACTTTTTGAAGATCAATCAATGTTGTAGAAGTAGTTGTTTGCAATTTCATCTGCAGGCTGACCAATAGGCAAACAGAATGCCAACCGAAATAATCCAAATTGTAGTTCTAATATAACAAACAATAACAAGCCAGGCAATTGGGGATTTGGGGTAGCATGCCTTCATGCAAGAAATATATGCATGCTATATATTCACTGTTTGAGAAATGCATCTTTGATAAAGTAACTTGTTTGGAATTGTAGATACAGTCTCATAAATACTGAAATATCATTTGTCCAACCAGAAGTGTCATCTTTTAGAAAAATTGTGCCATCATGCATGCTAAGAGTTTGGAGGAGAGCATTCATAACCAATAACAAGGAATTATATATACCACAAACAACACAAGGACGTGTGAACATTGCACCATATTTCTTCTGACGAGTTTCACCACGTACATCCACCCCCCCCCCCCCCCGCCGCCCAAAAAAAACACCTAAAACTATAAGTGTTATCTACTAACATATTATCCCTATTTACCAGAGTAGCAACATCATCTCATATATTTTTGGTTGCGTATGGTGGACTTAATTAGTTACACAACTGCACAACCAACACCATGACTTCTCCAGTTCTCCTCCCCCTGTCCTTCCTCTTCCCTCATGATGAGAGTTTTAACACCTAATTGAATAAGCTAGCCCAAAAATTTGAAACACAACAAATTAGGTGCAGAACTAAAACACTAGTCCATAAAGCTTAGATCCATGCAAGGAACTGTCCAAATTTAGTAGGCAATTATGGACAGGGAACCTTAGTTCATTTTCTTTTGGCAATGAATCATTAACCGGGATCATTTTCTAAATATGAAAAAAAACTTACCTTTTATCCTTGAGTAGGATAAAAAAACAAAGGTTTGAATCCAACCAACAACTTCTTGCCAAGAACAACAATGATTTTTAGGCGACCTGGATCTGTGGCAGGGCTAGATCCTTGTCTGTTAGAGCCAGAGCCAAACCAAGCACTACTAGATCCTCAATTTTTTAAAATGTAAAGTGTGTCGATCTGCTCCACAAAATTCATAGAGAGGCTGGAGCTACCATTTTTCGAACTCAGAACTCCAGCTCCATATCATATATGGAACTCAACCAACCGGACCTAACTGTACTTAGATCTAGAAAACGTCATAATTAATCTGACCAACTGTAGAGAACCTTTAATTTACAGAGTCCAAAAACATCAATGCTTGCATTACACTTTCTACTGCAGTCATTGCATATATCAAACATGGAAACACATAGTTAACAACAGTAAAAAAGAATGACAGAAGATATCAAACAGGGAACACTTCGTTCACAGCGATTGAAAACATGGAAACTTGCAAAACAAAGAACCTCGGACGTTATGGTGCATTAAGGCCATGGAAACAACATGTCGATCAACATGGGTACCATCCAACACAAGCACATGGGGGGACGACATTGCAAACTTTTGGCATAGAGTTATCTTGAACTGTTATTGAGGAAAATGGACCAAGAATGCACATAATTATAGTGCAGAGATATTGCAAATATATAATTCACTGGCACAAAAGTTAGCTGTCATATCTCACAGTATCCGTATATTTGATAATTTTGATATACTATACAATGTATAATGATAAATGGTTTTGTCCTTTTTCGTACCTATAGAGTTGTTTATTATTCACAAACTAATTAAAGTGACCTCGCAACAATTGTAGCTACCTCAAAGGAAAGATACAATCTAATAAATGAGCATATATTTGATATATCTATATTGATAAATGACTTTGCCCTATTTAATTTGTACATGTTGTAATGTTCATTACAACAGAGAGGCTAGTAGAAACTATTTAATTGGTCATGCTCTAGTTTGATAGACGATATGGTACTGAATGAAAGAAAGCAAGTAGTGTCGTACATGGGCATGGTTTGGCCTATTGGTCCAAAAGGCCCACATTGTGGGGCTTCTACCTTCTCCTCTATGGTTTTCACATGACCTTTTTTTGTAAGGCCCAGCTCATGGTCTTGTTTTCGCGCCATCTATCAGGTAGGCCACCCTTAGTACCATACTATTTACACGCAATTGACCACAACGCTGTAGTCGCTATAGATTTAAGACAATGTATAACAATAACTACTTATTTCATATTAAAATTATCGCAAAACCATAGATTTTAATGTTTAAATCCCTAACGCTACTGGTATATTGAAGTTATAAATGCGGTAGTATTACATTTAACTTGGTGCTATGCTTGTACCTATGTGATAATTTTATTACCAAATCCTTTGTTTTTTAATAGTAGAAAAATATATGAATGCTAGATTGTCTAGTAAAATTCACAAATATTGTATAATATTGAGCAAACAATTTATTGAATCGACAGTCTAGTAGATACTCAGTAGAAAAAAACAGTCTAGTAGATACATATTAAAATGATTGGTACAATATTATTAGTATAACATATTACAATATTAATCAAACTAACCCGGAGTTCTACTCTATTTCGGCCTTCTTCTCTAGCTCAACGATCTTGGACTTGGCCTTCTCAAGTTTGGCGTTGTCTTGTCTAGCTCAGAGCCATGGCATTGGCTCAAATCATTTATCTCGATCACCTTCCTCTAGCTCCATCAGCTCAAAGAGGGATACGGCCATACGACAGACTATACTTATTTGGAAAAACAAATATCGGGCAAAGGCACACAGTTCATGTGAACATTGGACAAATCGTCTCCTCCTTTATGTTTTTTTTTTATATTTACATGTGGGTCTTCCTGACAACTATTGCTAGAGTTCTATGACCAAAATACTTCGCTGTCATGTGCAGGTTTGACTCTTGTGATGAATAATGCCTTTTTATGACGATTTTGTCATAGAATCTCATACTTACAAATGGGATCGGCTACGGTGGACCCATGAGACCATGGCTACCAAGTTCTATGACAAAATACTTTCTCACCATGTGTTAGCCCAAACTTCTAATGAAAAATTGCATAACATTTGTGATGACCAATGTTTGCCACCATGACATTTTTTGTGACCACAAAGTTAAGTTGCCACTAGAATCGGCCGAGTCTGAAATTTATGATGGATCAATGATGGATTCACTATTCATCAGAGTGAATTCATCATAGATGGCCAAATCTGTTGTAGTGATATAGGTCAAGGGCTATAAAGCATGCACACCAACGAAAAAATAAAAGCCACAACTCAAGCAGATGTAAAGTTTGCAAAACTTATTAATCCATTTATAGTATGAGCGTAATATCACTCATCTTGACTCATAGTTACACAAAAAGCCCAATAGAGACATACTGCAACTCCCATGTACCATGTAACCTTTATTTCATTGTCAAAAACAACATCCACATTCCAGACTAAACATATAGTCATAAACAAGTTTGATCCTCTCCAATTAAAACACAGGAAAACTTATTTGGGTCACAAACATTTTCATCCATCGGATAGAGCTTGCAACACTTTGCAGCAGTTTCATTCAACATTGCACACTATTGTAGAAACCCGCCAGCCTTAAATTCTAGTAGAAGTCAATACTGACGGAACCTCCACTGCTAATTTCGACTAATGCCATCAACTGATTGGTCGTGAGTTCGGACCACCAATCCACCTGAAGTTGAAAGATTCACAATGTTAATAGGATTTCAAGTTTCCAGAGTTGATAGCACATGGATCATGCAATCAATGGTACTGACCAGACTGAGCTTCAGAAACACCTTCCTCAGAACAGGTGAGTGGTTGACATATTGGCGTAGAGGCAAGAAATTATCGGCCATGCACCATTCACCCAAGCGCAAGGTTCTGAGATTCCTAAACATCGGCCTACTTCCTTGTTGTTCCATGAATGTAAACTTCATATGTGCAAAGCAAAAAATTACAAGTATGCTATGAATACCAATAATTTGTGGCAAAACGGTGATAATAAAGAGATTATTTCTCCTCCTCGGTTTATATTATTATATACAACACTACACAAATATGTGTCGAGGTTAAAAGTGGTATATACATTTTTTAAAAAGGAAAAGTGGTACATACAATTTTTTGAAAACGCAAAGTGGTATATACATATGTTTTTGAAAAGGCAAAGTGGTATATACATTTTTTTGAAAAGGCAAAGTGCTATATACCATTTTTGATAAGCCAAAATGGTATATGCATATAATCCAAAATGAATGTTTCATGCTTTCCTTGCTATGAAATAAATACTCACTATATTATTTTCTAAATAATATAGCAATTTCATTCACGTAAGTATGGTCACATAAAAATTGTATGATGTTTATGGAAGTAATAAAATGTCTGCAAAAAGGGATTAGTGATACCTGTCTATCAGTAGCTGTCAACTCTATGCTTGTGACATCTGAAGCATCAACGAGAGTGATTGTTGTGAATGTCAGGTAAGAGTTTGTAAATGAAAAACTGCCCGTTTGTTGACCCTTGATGCACAACGAGACCAAACTCGGAGTACAGATGCTTACATTATAGAGAAGAGAGCAACCGATCAAATCCAAATTTTGTAGTGAACTTGAAGAAATGTGTTGCACCTCCATTAAACACTCTTTTAGTACCAGATTTTCCAAAACCGGGCATGCGTTATTGAGACGATCAAATACCATCTCATTTAGAGCTGCATTAGTCAGCTCCAATGTTTTTAGATACCGAGAACTGAACTCCACAAGTTCTGGATCCAAGTAAAAAGGTTCCCAACTTGGATACTCAGAAAATTTAACTACTTTAGCGTTGTGCTTGATAGCATGGTTGATCCAAGAACCGGCCCGGTCCACTGCAAAAGAATCTAGCTGGAATGTATCCATAGAAGCATCAAGATGGTCGCGGCTTAGCAATAGTTTGTCAATAGAACTACGGAATTTTTCCCTATCTAGGCGAAACCAATTTATATCAAGCTTTATTGACTGCAAGCAAGTCCACTTGTTGACCCACCAGTGGGACAGGACACTCGTGCGCACCGCCTCCTTCATCGACAAGAAGGACATTATGTGGTGGATCAGATCATTTGGGAGTTCGCTGATCCTATCTTTTCCATGGGGATGGGAGGGTTCCTTGTGGCCTGCAGTTTAGAACTGGATACTGAGTTACTTAAATTCAGTGTGAACAAGTTTTGACATTGATTCAGTACATGCTTCTTAGTGTAGGTACATGATCTTGGAGAACCACACAAACAACTCACAACAAATTTACAATTTCTGTGTGGGCTTAAATCTAGATTCACAGAGATATTGCTATCTTAAATACACTTTACATAAATGATAAAACATTGCCCTAGTAGCTTTGAGTTTTTCGTTTTTTTTTAAAGAAAAAAGTAAGGAGGTGAGGCTCACACATCAATCATGTGTTGCACCAGAATAACAAATATTCTCGATTTTGCACCAAAATTACCAATGTGTAAAGGATGAAAACATGAAAAATGCTTTAACTCAAACATGGGATCGGGTTGTGTATTTACAAATTTTATTCTCATATATTTTTCATGTATCAACCTGTCTAGAAGATTATAATCATGTGTAGACTATGGAGAAAATACATCATGTAGGCAACATAAAAAAAAAGAACATACTGGTGTTCAAATTTTCAAGAACTTACTGCTAGATGATGTCCCCTGAACATTTCCTTCTGCCTGGATAATTTGGCCCTGCTTATTCTTCTGATGGAGCAAGAAAAATGAAGAGGTTGAAGCTTGCTGATGAATATGCAGAAAATTGTTCAACATCAGAGGATATGAATCATCCAAATCGCCTTTTATCAGACTAATCCTCCGTAGATAATCACCCTATGTAGTGCGAGAAAGAAAAATCATCAGAACTTTTATTTAAACATAAAATCCTATATTGAACCATAACTTTATAATACCAGCGAAAACATACAAAGTTAGCAAAGAGAGTGTTCCACAATCTGGCAAGCCAAGAATAAGTGCAAATATTATTGAATGGAGAATGAACCTAAACAAAGTACTTTCTATATGAGGATAAAATCAATATATTATAGATTTTTTCTAGAGATGCACATATATAAGTCAAAAAAACAGAAAAGGATGATTTTTGTCAACTATATAAAAAGTGAATCGAAAGGGGAACATAAATAATTGGAATTGTTTATGAACGATCACTTCAATTAAATACAACATCAATCCTAGTGGCTTCTGCGCCACAGTAAAGGAAGAGTAATAAACATTTTTAATTAGATGCAGAATTTGCATAGAACATCTTGCAACCATATGTTTTCAAGTAAGATGGTCATCCTAACGGCCTCACACAATTGTTATAGCTCTAAGTAGTTCTAGACTTCTCGGCAATAAGTTATTGTACTTGTTTAGGAGCTTTAAGGTTAACACTATTAAGGTGTTACTATTAAGGTTAACACTATTACGCGCATTAACAGACATAAAAATAAAATTTAATACCTAAGGAAATTTGATTGCATAAAAAACTATTAAGAACAAACCATCGTACAAAGTCAATAGCTATTTTGTAGATTCTCTCCTCTATTCTAGCAGCAACTTTTTGAAGATCAATCAATGTTGTAGAAGTAGTTGTTTGCAATTTCATCTGCAGGCTGAACAATCTGCAAGCAGAATACCAAATATTAATACAACATATTTAATATTTCACTATGGTACTTCACTGTTTAATATTAATCCAAAATGTGGCCAGTCAAGAAATACATGCATGCTATATATTCACTGTTTGAGAAATGCATGTTTGTGAAAGTAACATGTTTGGAATTGTAGATACATTCTCATAAATACTGAAATATCATTTGTCCAACCAAAAGTGTCATATTTTAGCAAATTTGTGCCATCATGTATGCTAAGAGTTTGGAGGAGAGCATTCATAACCAATAATAAGGAGGAATTATGTATACGACAAACAAAACAAGATGGATGTGTGAACATGGGACCATCTTTCTTGTAAGTTTTACCACCTACATCCACCCCCCCCCCCAAAAAAAAAAAAGAAAGAAAGAAAGAAAGAAAAAGCACCTAAACCTATAAGTGATATCTACCAACAGATTTTTGCTTTTTTCTGGAGTAGCTGCATCATCTCATATATTTTTCATTGTGTAAGGTGGACTCAGTTACACAATTGCAGAACCAACAGTCCAACACCATGACTTCTCCAGTTCTTCCTCCTCCCTCAAGGTGGGAACATGAATCACCTTAAGGGTTTTAACACCTACTCCAAATTAAATATGCTAGCCAAAAAATTTGAAAGACAGAACAAATTAGGAGCAGAACTAAAACACTAGTCCATAAAGCTTATACCCATGCACCATGCAAGGAACTGGCCACATAATTTAGTACGGAACTATTGACATGCAAACTTAGTTCATTTTCTTTTGGCGATGATTCATTTACTAGGGTAATTTTCTAAATATGAAACAACTTACCTTTTATACTTGGATACGATCAAAATACAAAGGTTTGAGTCCAATCAACAACGTTTTGCCCAGAACAACAATGATTTTTAGGTGATTTGGGCATATGGCAGAGTTAGAGCCGGAGTTGAACCAAACAATACTAGATCCTCAGTTTTCTAAAAGTGAAGTGCGTGGATCTGCTCCACAAGATATGCAGAAAGGGTGGAGCTACCTTTTTTTGGATCCAGAACTTCAGCTACATATTAGATTTGTAGCTCTACCAAACAAATCTAACTGTTACTTAAATCTAGAAAACATCAGATTGGATCTGACTACCGATATGATGATTCAGTTAGATCATTAACAAGTATAGCATGGATGACGATTTCCAATCTTGATAATAAACTATCATCAATTCAAAACTTTGTAATCAATTTCTCATGGAAAAAAAAGTAAGAATAGGGGAAGAGAGAGACGAGGAGGGGGCACTTACATATCACGTTTTACCCTATCGCGAATATCCTGGCCAAGGCGGGTCCTCCAATCGACACCTTCCTCGATGATCCCTAACTCGTCCATTATGCCGATTAACTCAAATCTTTGCTTCTTTGCTTTCGTTAGGCAGAAGAAGTGCTCAGAGATGGCGAAGAACAACAAGAGGTCGATGATATAGGCAGAATTGAACCTTATAGGCTTTAGTTGTTGGTGGGATCCACAAAAGAAGTAACGCTTCCGTGGGAGAAGGGTATAGCTCACATGACATGACAAAATTACTTATAACACGGGAGAAGGATATGGCCCACATGACTTGACAACATCACCTAGCTTATAACATGTGAGGTAGCTTCTAGAACCTCAATAGAGACCTATACAAAATAAAATTGTGGCAATTGACTTCCAATATCTAGGGTTAAAAAAATCGAAACCGAAAATCAAACCCAAAATAACCAAGACAAAACCAAAAAAACTGAAGCACTGGTCAATGTTCCCGACGTCGGTCTCAGGTTTGCAAAGGCCAATTCTTATTTCAGTTTATTTGGTCTTTGTATGGGGTATCCGGACTACCCATTCTATTTACGCGTTATCCGAATCCACTCCTTATTCCTCAGCACATCCTTGTGCAGTTGCGCTCCGTCAACTGCCGTAGCCGACACCCTTCCTCCATTCTGGTGCTTCTCTCCCTCTTCTTCCCGCCTTAGAATTTCGGCCGGGCCCACTTACATCCGGCAGCTTTCATAGGTCATAGACTGCCCTTTACGCGTTATCCGAATCCACTCCTTATTCCTCAGCACATCCTTGTGCAGTTGCGCTCCGTCAACTGCCGTAGCCGACACCCTTCCTCCATTCCGGTGCTTCTCTCCCTCTTCTTCCCGCCTTAGAATTTCGGCCGGGCCCACTTACATCCGGCAGCTTTCATAGGTCATAGATTGCCCTTTACGTGTTATCCGAATCCACTCCTTATTCCTTAGCACATCCTTGTGCAGTTGCGCTCCGTCAACTGCCGTAGCCGACACCCTTCCTCCATTCTGGTGCTTTGCGCACTCTGGCAGTGCAGTTGCGCTCCGTCAACTGCCGTAGCCGACACCCCTCCTCCATTCCGGTGCTTCTCTCCCTCTTCTTCCCGTCTTAGAATTTTGGCCGGGCCCACTTACATCTGGCAGCTTTCATAGGTCATAGACTGCCCCCACAGACCAACACAAGTCTTTTCTGCACACTTTGTCCTCATTCATGCGCACCCGGGAAGAATTTCCGAGTCGGTCACCCATCCCAAATTGCTCCAGGCCAAGCACGCTTAACCTTGGAGTTCTTTAGAGATCGGCTTTCGGAAAAAAAGTTGCAACTTGTTAATATCAGTATCCTATTAATCCTATTAAGCCCTAGGTCGGAATGTTACAACATGGTTCTCATCCCATCTATGCATCCACCTCCACTTCTAGTCGGGATACCCTCCTCAGGCCGCCATGCATCTACAGTAAGGTGGAAATGGTGGGGGAGAACTGAAGCTAAGGGTGTAGCAGCTGGTAGGTTATGGCCACGATGGTGCCTCTCCGGGGACATGTTGCAGCTTGCAAGGGCCTATCCCCTCCGTGTAATTCGCATCTTCACACTGCTACTAGCAAAGGCTGCCAATAGCGGCCATCTCCTCTGAGGAGAGTTGGAAGTCCACATGAAAGTTGAGAACCACATCTGGACCCATCTACATGTAAGTGTGCGGTTTGCCTGCATGCAGTCCTACATGGGAGATGAGTGTTCTATTCTGGTCGGTCATACCAAGAACAGAGACCAAACTATTTGTTAACCGAATAGTCGATTCACACATTTGTGCTGACAAGTGATCAGTCTTCCATTTTCAAACACCAAAAAGACTGGACTGAATTATCAGTCATGACGGAACACTCACCCCTAGCAATATCTATCAAGAAGCAGTTGTATTATAAAGTGGATCTTATATGATAGTACGATGTGGTGATTTAAAAAAAAAAGGAAAAGATTGGGATTAATTTATCCCTAAAGGTATTTCTCGGAAATGTGTTTAACCCGGAGCTAAAAGCGGGACGTTTCCACCCAAAGAATAGCTAGTGTCGCCATGGTTGGCCACCCCAACACGCCATAGTTGGCGTCACGTCTTCATTTGCATGTGCAACGTACGTTGGCATTAAGCTGTCTACAAGCTGACTCAAAATCATCATCCAGGTTGACATGCACAACGTTGCCATAGTGAATATAGATCTACTACTAGTAGTAGTGTTATTCTCCTATATATACCTCTCTCCAAAAAACCAGTCGAAATTGAACTAGAAAGACCGACACGATGTGCATGCAAACGAATGTTCAGCAGCCGCTCCCCTAGCACATACTGTACGTGGATGCCACATTATAAGGGATACCACCAACTAGTTTGGATAGACCCAGTTTTTAAAAGGAGTTCAGGGTGAAATTTGGACTATGATTAATGTGTAGTGACGCACCTCAGACTACCATTGTGAAAAGTCATATGTAATCCTGTCAAAGAAAATGCAGATAGAAACTTCATAGGTACAGTCATCTGGAGGAGTTGGTTTGCTGGCTAGATGCCCTCGCTTTAAAGCTTTTAAAATCAAATCACTTAGAAGCCCCAAAACAAACAGAGACATATCCCTACTATTATAAAAATTGAAGATGTTTTTACCAGAATTTTAATAAGTCATCCGTATTTGAATCGGTTTTATCTATATATTTACCTATTATAAAACTGAAGATGATTCCGTACTCATAGGTAGTTTCGTCCATCCTGGTCATGCTGGTTCTGTCCGATTGAGTTCCTATTGATCATTCCTTTTTTTTCCAACATGAGCGTTGAATCTGCATCGGCGGCGAGCAAACTAGAGCCCATATAGCTTCCGGTATTTTTTTATCCTTTTTTCGCTGTTTCTTTATCACACTTTCGGGTTTTTTTTCTTTCGTTTTTCTCGCATCTCGCCCTTTTTTTATCTCGTCCGATCCATCTCACGTGCATCCCGCCACCGCCGAGACATACCCTCAGCGCTGATTTTTGAAAGAAACGGAAAGAGGTGATCGAGTGGATTTGAGGGGAGGATTGGCTCAGGCATACAGTCACATAACTGCCACCGCCAAGACAAACCTTAGCGCCGCCATTCGATTTTGGGAAAAACAGAAAGAGCAGATCGAGTGGATTAATAGCCCTTAACCAATTTTGGGAGATCAAGAAAGATTTGGATGAATTTGAGGGGACAATTTTGGGAGATCAAGAAAGATTTGGCTGGATTTGAGGGGAGGATTGGCTCATATGACCATCTTCCGAGGTTAAAGACGACTGTCGATGTGTGAGCGGGGTTTGTGGCCTCACTTGTGGGCTAAGCTCGAGAGGAGAGAGAGAGAGGGAGAGAGAGGGGGGTAGTGGACTGGGTGGGGCTAAAAAGAAAGAAAAGAATGGGCTTTCAGCCCAAAACCAAGAATGAATTTTTATTAACTTTTTCAATTATGATTATACAGCGGTTCTAATGGTTCAATTTATTGGCAAGCTTCCAATAGTTGTTGTATCCCTGAAAAACGGTTTCTCCGTTGCTACGCACGGGCATTTTTCTAGTATCTATACTAATATATAAAACGCAAGTTGTTTCTTCCCTACATCCACCCAAGAAAGTGTACCCATAAGTTTCCTAGCTGTTGGATCCTCTAATCTAACGATGTACATTGCCGATTGGATTAACACTGTGATTAGTGTCGGATTAACACCAATTAGTGCTTCGCCAATCCTTCTCTTCGCTAAAAAAAACGGTCGCCCGTGTCTCCACCCAGACCACCCGCCCCTCCACATCCCCCCCACCGCCGTCCGCCCTCCACCCCACCCGCACATCCCAGCCACCCGCCCTCCATCCTCGTTTCTTAATTTCTCTATTTATCTTGTTTTCTTCCACATTTACATATCCAAAGTGGAATTCTTAGGTTGGACAATACCACACTTTGCTACCGTCTGCCTTTGCAGGGCAGGAGAGAGGAGGGTCAGCATTCTAATGGACGAGGAGGATGCAGACCACTGCCGACATGGCGAAGGGGCTCGACTTCCTCCTTTGCGCTTAGATGCTGGCCATCTACCAACTTCAATCCATCTAACATCCTCCTCGACTCGGTGAGAGCTAGCCTGTCACTTTGCTCAACTGCAGTACAATTTTCAGTCATTGACCAACATACTCTTAGTACTGTCACCTATTGTTGACGCAAAAAACACACACTAATCAGCACATCAGGAACTATCTTCTTGATCACATCTTGTAGTGTACTCATCAAAACCCCAGACTGATTCTAGTAAAAAAAAAACCCAGACTGATCAAACAAGGCATGATGAAATGTTTCATCAACTTTATCTTGAGATGTTTCAACCATCGGCTTAGGAGATTGTCCCTTGTTGGCATTGACTTCCTCTTCAGACATGTTGGGTATAAAACACGTGTCCCACTGGGCGTGCCAAAAATGCGTTGACGCAAAAAACACACACTGGCTTGGGAGACCTGCTTAGCTCTAGTGCAGGTCCAAAGGTTGATGAGATGCAGACGTGCCAGTTAGTTTGACCCTGCAACTGACAAGATATACAAATAGCAGATCAATAAGCCGATCGGCTGACAAGCCGATGGAGTAGTTCCAGCCCATGCCGATACAAGCCGATAGCGAGAGGGTTTCGAGGTATCGGCTATGTGTTTGATGTGGAGTCTGACACTTGATGTAAATAACAACATAAAGGCAATCGGTTGATGATAATGAAAGAAAGCAACAATATAATCCAGTAGAAACCAATCGGCTAACAATGACATGATAGAATAAGCACTAATCCGAAGGTTAAAGCATACATCTGCTGGAGATCCGATGTCATAAAATCCACAAGATTAGATAAACAATAAAGTCTTTGTTGTCATCGTCTAAATCCAATCTATATGCAATCCTTGTAAGCCGATGCAACGTACAGATACCTCATCGACTGAAACCCCGATGAAACCCTTATTGGGAATCATGTATCATTCTTAGACTATAGCAATTCAGTATTTTGGCTGCTGATGAAATCATTCTTGACTGAACATGTGATCAGTAGCATTTGTGGAAACTTGAGAATAAAACTTCAGTCAACTGCATATTGTTTGCACAACTCTAATTATAATTTTTCCTATCATTTGCATGAGTTTGGGTGTACTTATTTGTTTGTGCAAATTTAATGCATTTTTAACATTATCTGTCTGAATAATGATACCGTCAGAAAAATTAGAACTTATACT